TTCCAGATGTTTCTGTGTCTGTTCTCTCTCGGGCCCAACAAGGTGGAGCCTTGGGGTGTCCTGTGGAGCCAAGCAGGACACGACCCATGGGGCAGCTCCTGAGCTCTCACCACCCAAAACACGGTGCTGAACGAGTACAAATGTTGATTTGAGGCTGCATAAAGTTGATAATTCTGGACCAGATTCACTATCGTGATTTTGTGTTGGTTCATTCCAAGGCACGAGCTCTGTGCACGTCCACATTCCTCCCCAGCAGCTGAGCTGGTTTCAGAGCRGTGCAGGCTGTGCTGCTGCTTTGTGTATCTGATCTGCTGGGATTTACAGATCTCTGGGTGCAGGAGAGTGGGATTTAGCTGGACTCCAGCTGAATTTAGCAGGGAAATTTCAATGTTCTGCTTTAAATCCACCTTTCTTTCCTGTTTGCTGGGTCTTCAAGGGGCCCTGCTGTGTGTGACAGATTTCTGGGGATGATGACACTTCTCATTGTCCTAGTAGAACATGGTGCTCAAAATTCTAACCTGTATTGAAAATACTCACTGGAAACCTCATCTAGGCACCTCCTGRCCCAAGAACTGGGAAGAAAAGTCTGGGAGAGGGTGTGTAGAGAGGTAGTGCTAGGGTTTTAATGGAGATTTTGAAGAATTGCATACTTCAGGAGCTGCTTAAAAATCCATAAACATCTACAAAGGGAGAAGGGGAATTAAAACATGCAGGTGTGACACGTGGCTGCTTCAGGTTTGCTCGTTAATGCTTAGATCCAGCCAGAGGAAGGAACCTCTGAAGCATTAGGTGACACTCTTATAGGCTGAGAGCACAGATTTCTTTATATAAGAATCCCTTAAGCTATTTTAGGTGACAGAGGACTGATGAGGCTTCAAAGTCCGCATTAGCTGGAGGACAGAAACCTCCAGGGAGCCGGATTGTTGATGTGTTTGCATTCCAGTGAGTTAGTGGCTGAGGATAGTGAAGCTATTGTAGGGCTGCCCGAAATGTGACATAAATAGAAATTGTGCCATGATCATCAAGGTCTAAGCCTGCTCTTCTGGCTTTATTAGGTAGCAGGCTCTGATCTTTGCAGTTTCCCTGCAGAGCTTCTACCGAGTGACCTCAGTGTCATTGTCCCCAGTGCTCTGTCTGTCCGTGGCTGTYGGTCACATGGAGGTGGCCTCTCATGGAAAGAGCCCTTTTAGCCCTGGTTTTGCTCTTGCTGGAGTTTATTGTGTGCTGTGGGTTCCTCTGAGGTGTAGATGCAGGAATCAAATCATGAGTGGAGAATTGGGAGCAAACCCTGGAGATGTTACACTCGTTGGTGGAAGAGTGCTTGTTAATGTGGAGGTTGGCAGCACCCACACAAAGCTTCACTTTTGACTCTCCTTGACCCTGTCAAGAGCTTTAAAACCCATCCTGAACAGAACAGAGAGGTGGATGCAGCATGAAACATCATTCAGATTTTATAGTTCAGCAGAGCCTTGGCCAAAGGTGGCAGGAGCACCAGCGCTGGCTCTGTCCTTGTCCTGGTTTAACAGAGGAGTTCTTGGAGCAAATGCYCTGAAGCTTTGTCCAAGACCTTTCCTAGGCTGCAGGTAGAAGGCAGTGTGTGCTTTTCAGCCACTTTGATCACAATTCACTTGATAATGGTTCCTTACCTGCTTCCTCTTCAGTTTTTAGAGTTTTACTTCCTTCACGGTACAAAGGGAAATTCCCTTTTTGGCCTGGTAGTTCTTGGGGTTTTTTTTGAGGAAATTTATCCTATGCACTTATATGGGTTGTCTGTCCCTTCTGCTGCCTCCACACTCTTCACAGTGATTTTTTAACCAATTTCATGACAAGGTGATCCTTCCACCCCCCAGGTGCCTTCGTGGGGCTGTGATCAGGCAGCAGAGAACTTTGGGGTGAGCAAGGTGTGGGGTCCAYGGATGTTAAACACCAGACATCAGAGCCATGGGGGAGCCTTGGGCCATGCAGCACCTTGTTGGAACAGGCTAAAGCTAAAAAGCTTAGCTAAAAAAGGCTAAAACTCAGCAGCTTTCCTAAAAATGGTCCATATCCATCCCCTGAGAGGCTGCCCCTCTCCAAACAGGAGCTCCAGGTCATTGCTGTGTCCCCTCCTGCAGCAGTGTCAGGGTCACCCCACTGTTCCCAGCAGTACCTGCGTGTCCAGTGACAGCCCCTTAATCCCTGTGTGTAATCCCCAACATGCTGATGCCATTCTGCCTGCAAACCTGGAGACTCTGACACCCAAATGTGAGGCTGAACTGCTCTTGGGGAGGCTCAGCAATGTTTATTTTTTTAACTTGAGATTTAAAACTGAATAAAAAGAACGAGCGCTTTTTCTTCTCATCTGTTTGGGGTTTTTTGCCAACAACCTTTTAATCATAAAACAAGAATTGTGTTCTCTCTTGGAWAGCCTGGTGGCTGCCAGGTCCCTGTCAGCTGGGGACGAGGCCAGGGCCACAGAAAGGTGAATTTGAGGGAGGGCTGGGGTGCTGTTTTGTGGTTGGGCCCCTGCACAGACCTGTAAATCACGCTTGCCACATCAGTGGTAGCAGCCAGTGTCAGTCTGAGCAGCTTTCTTCCAAGAAGTGGATAATCCAGATGACCACACTCTGTGTGATCTGAGCTCCAGCTCAGCTTCAGGAGCCCTGGCAGATGCTGTCACTGCYGTGAGGGACCTTGCTGGAAGGAGAACGGGGGACAAAGCCAGAACCCTGTGCTGCCTCTCACCTTGCTGGGCTGGAGATCTCCCAGCAGAGTTGTTCCTCCCTGCTGAACAGGTCTGTGTGAGGGGAACTGGGCTGTTTTTCCTTGTTTGAGGCTCTGTCATGCCTAGATTGCAGTCACCGTTTAGATGCTCCCAGGTTAAAAATGAGAATGCCTAAAAATYCCTTTTAGTAAATGCTTTTAGAGGCTTTTGAAGGGGGTGGTTTGTGAACAGGGGCATTGCCTCTTACTGCCCCTCCCCTGAGCGTGGGAGGGAATGGAGGCACTGGTGTAACGGTGTCCCTGGGGCTGTGTCCCCTGCAGGACACAGAGCAGAGGCCATGGGGCTCGATCTGTCCCCTGTGCCAGCTGCTGCCCCGGGAAGGAATCTGGGGCTCTCTCCAGTCCTATGTTTTAAAMCCCCTGGGGCTGCATTCTGGGCTCTCACTCTGGCAGAGGTCAGAGGCTGGGCCACCCCTGCCCCGGGGCTGGGAGCTGCTCTTTGCCCTCTCAGGGTTTTAGGGGGTTTTGCAGACCCCACTGGGGTCCCTGGGCACGGGGGGTGATAGCAGCTGCCTCCTGGCAGCGCTGAGCATCGGTAAGCTCATTAGGGGAAGAAAGCGGCTTTAGRGAATGGGATGGATTGGAGCAAAGGGCTTGGGCCGGGGATGGGCAATGGGGTGATGGCCGGGGGGGAAAATGGGGCTGCTGAGAGGGCCAGGAGGGGTGGGGTCCTGGACAGAACAGCTTCCCTGCATCATCAAAGCTGCTCCAGAGGCTCCTCCTCAGCCAGCCTGGTTTATCCTGGCGCTGTGCCCCCCATGAAAGCACAGGGGGGATCCCCCATCGCCCCCGAGTGCCACCACCCTGCCCTGAGCCTCCAGCCAGGGCGATGCCGAAACTCTGCTCTGCTCTGCTCTGGTCTGCTCGGCGGGCACAGAAGGAGCAGCGCTGGTCGCCCCCAGCTCTGTCCCCTCCCCGGAGCGGGTGCAGGGTCTGACCCCGCCGAGGTTTCCCGGCCACCTGCGGACCGCGCAGGGAGCTCCCGGCCGCTCTCCGGCATCTCCTTTAAAGGCCTTYTCTCGTCGGGCTCGCCCCTGGCAGCTCCGTCACGCCAGATGCGGTTGCCGTGCCCCGCGGGGAGGCTCTGCCGCCGGCAGCGAGCGCCGTGCGGGGCCCCGGCACCCCCCGACCGTGTCCCCTGTCCCCTCCCGGGGCTGCCGGGGACCCCACAGAGCTGAGTGCCGGCTCCYGGCTGGGTGGCCCCAGCGTCTGCCTTCGGCTGCTTTTGAGGAGYTCAGGCAGGTAAAAATGCCCCGGGGAGCGTTTGGTGGCCGCCGAGTTGAGGGAAAGCGCCCGGTTTGGCTTCCCATGGGGGGTTCCTTATGCTAAACCAGCTGCGTRCCTCGTACCTTCCCCATCTGTAACACAAAGACAAGGGRTGAGTGCCTGTGAGGCTGGCAGAGSTGGGGAAAGCAGCATTTAGCAGGGTCTGCCCCGTGGCTGAGATGGATTGGGCRCTTTGCAGCAGGGTCCAGCCCTCCAGAGCACTCTGATGCTCTCTGATGTGATGGGTTCGGCTGATTCCTGCTGGCCAGGGGCTCCCGAGGCCCTGGGTGGAGGTGTCAGTGACAATTCCCAATGTCTAGGAGTGAAATGTTCTGGCTTTGACAGGTGCCAAGTGCTGCTTTTTACACYTTCATCGGGGCTGAACAGGCTCTAGGGGCTGGGTGATGGCCCTGCTTGGTGCTGGGGTGTCCTGGACTGACTTGGCCAAGGCTTTGCACGGTTCCTGCTCTCTGTCCCAGTAGATTTCTCCTTCATTTCCTATCCTGGAAAAAAAAATTCCCCTTTTTGTCCCATATGTGGGAACAGTCTCCAAGAAGTCACTGTGGGACAGTCCCCTCTGCACAGCGACTTTAGACTGGGGCTGGGAGAGGGACTCTGTGGACTTTCTGCACCTTCAATTCTATAAACATCGTAAAACAGCTTAAATAAGCCACCCAATCTCCCTTAGATTCTGAAATGTTTTATGTTTGTCTCTCTGGGAGCTCGGGGGTTCCCCTGCCAGCTGGGTGGTGGCTGCAAATTCGGAGGTGACCCACATCACCAGCCCAAAACGAGGATTGCCCCGGGGGAAGGAAATGGGGGTGGCGAGCAGGAAAACCCATCCTCAGCCCTGCCCAGAAATGAGGCTTGTATTGAATTTCTCATCTGCCTCGCTCCGTGGCTGCCCAGATCCCACCAGCCTTCTCCTGAATTTTAGGGGGTGTCCCCATCTCTTTCCCCGCAGATGCCTCCACGTTGAGCAGAGGAGCTCGAAGCTCTTGCTGGGTGAGAAAACGCTTTAAAAATACAACATTTAGAGGCGGTCTCCATCTGCGTGAAGCTAACGCGGGTCTCTCACGATAGGTGTGCTGGTCCTGGAGCCTCTGCACTTCACAGATGAAGCCACTCGAAGGGACATCGGCGGGACAGGGGGAGGAGGAGGCGCAGGGACAGGGGCGGCGGCGGCGGCAGCGGCAGAGGACAGGCTGCCGACCCAGCTCCTCACCCAAAGGGTATGTGCCCAAAAAACTCCGCTCAAAAAGCTCACCCGGTGGCTCTCGGGGTGCTGGCAGGGCTGGGACAGTGATGGCAGTGCCAGGCGAGGGACATTGAGCGTCGTTTTGGCACGGTGGCTCCTTCTCCTGCAGCCGCTGCTCTCAGGCTGGCTGGGAGGGGAGGAAAAAGCCCTGCTGCAGCTTTTTCCAGACACAGGGGTAAAAGTTTGGGGGTTCCAACCCTCTCTCAGTTGGATGCTGGGCTCCAGCATGGGGTCTCTTTAGTAGCCCGTGTGTCCCCATGCCCTGGTGACCTGCCATCCCCAGTGGCCTCCAGCACCCTGCTCACAGAGCTGCCAGCCTTCCAGGCACCCAGGACGGGGTTTTGGGGTGATGAACCCGTCCCAGCGCACTTTTAGGGGGTCTGTCATCCCCCTGGGGGTGACATGAGACGGTGCCTGGGCTCTGTCGGCTGCTGGGGTTGTTGTGATGCTGGGAGAGGCCGGCTCGCGGTGAGGTCCGCTTGGCAGCCAGGGCAAAAAAAA